CTTTCACATGATATAGTTGAAACGATATCATACAATTCGGGTAAATACGATGTTTTGAATATTGTCGAAACAATATTGAAAAATGAGCCGTCGAACTCGAATATACAATATTGCATAACCACTTCAGAATCGACATGGGGAGAATGTTCAAATTGCGATATTGGTTATGATTGTTGGAAACAATATGTAGGTATACGATATTTTCCACATGATATGGTTGGAATGATATCAATCAATATAGGTGAATTTGATGTTCCAAATATTGTTGAAACAATATTCATCCAATTTGCAGTCGAACTCGATAACACAATATTGTATAACCGCTTCAGAATCGACATGGGGAGAATGTTTGAATTGCGATATTGGTTATAATTGTTGGAAACAATACAATACAATGTAAGAAACAAAATGTATACGATTACTTCCGCATGATATAGATAAAATGATATCAATCAAGATATTGGTTGGTTGAATATTGTTAAAACAAAATATCCAACCAATATGCCGTTGAACTTGAATATACAATATTGCATAACCGCTTCAGAATCGACATGGGGAGAATGTTCAAATTGCGATATTGATTATAAATGTCGGGAGCAACATGTATACGATGTTGTTGTATCGACATTTGTAAAACAATATTATATAACGTTTATAGATATGTTTTTCAACACATTGTCAACGAATTTTGCAACCAATATTGCACCAATATTATAGCTGACAATCCATAATCAGCTCAGGTTGAACCAATATTCCACCAATATTATCATTCCAATATTGTATGTCCAATATTCTCATATTGGACCTATATTATTTTTCACATGTACGATATATCTATATCGGCCAATATGAAATCGGGTTCCAGTCAATATGATGTGCTACCTGGAAAGAAACAAAATCAACAATGTATGACTTGAAAAATATAAGCTTAGAATTTCAGAAAAACATTCGAGTTTTATTGGATCTAAAATTTATAATAAAATACTTTATTTCAATTTATTCTCATTATTGTGTGAATCAATGATAAAAATAAAGTTTATTCAAAATGTTGACATAATATAGATTATAAGTATACATATTGGTATTGAATAAACAAAGAAAACTTTATGAAGTATACAGTGTGTCCCACTTACCATGCTCACCATGGGTATCTTTTAAACGGTGAGAGATACGACGTCGGTTAAATGACACCAAATGTGAAGTATGTCAAGGCCAACTATAATGTGAAAAAATATTTTGATAAAATCTATTCGTTTTTGTTTTATACGCAAAAAACAGATTTTGGTCATTTTCATGTCTCCTCCGTAACTTCTTTATTTATAAAAATATTCAAAACGGAATTTCACATTCTCATGGCAGTTTTTCAAAGTGATTTCGAAAAAAATATGAAATTTATACCAACTCTTCAAGAATTTGAGATATCAGCACCAACTTTAGTTTTTCAAATGTAGGTCATAGCTCACTATGACTTAGTTACAAATAACTTATTTTTCTCTTACAGATGATATGTCGCAGTAATAGTTTTGTGTTGATAACAACGGAGTTATCGTCATTTATACAAAAACAAAAAATAATTTGGAAGCCGCCTTCTTGAATTTATAAATTTCAACAAAAAAATTATGATCTCCGACCTCAAAGATCCCCACTTACCAATTTTGAATAGAATCGGACCAAATCTTGTCCGCCATCTTGGAGCAGCCATTTTTTTTAATTTCAACAAAAATTCCATAATGTATGGTCACCGAAATTATGAACACCTGCCAAATTTCAAGTTAATCGGCGTTATGGAATTTTTGTTGAAATTTAAAAAAATGGCTGCTCCAAGATGGCGGACAAGATTTGGTCCGATTCTATTCAAAATTGGTAAGTGGGGGTCTTTGAGGTCGGAGATCATACTTTTTCTGTTAAAATTCATAAATTCAAGAAGGCGGCTTCCAAATAATTTTTTATTTTTGTATAAATGACAATAGCTCCGTTATTATCAACACAAAACTATTACTGCGACATATCATCTGTAAAAGAAAAATAAGTTATTCGTAACTAAGTCATAGTGAGCTATGTCCTACATTTGAAAAACTAAAGTTGGTGCTGATATCTCAAATTCTAGAAGAGTTGGTATAAATTTCATATTTTTTTCGAAATCACTTTGAAAAACTGCCATGAGAATGTGAAATTCCTATTTGAATATCTTTATAAATAAAGAAGTTATGGAGGAGACATGAAAATGATCAAAATCTGTTTTTTGCGTATAAAACAAAAACGAATAGATTTTATCGAAATATTTTTTCACATTATAGTTGGCCTTGACAAACTCCACATTTGGTGTCATTTAACCGACCTCGTATCTCTCACCGTTAAAAAGATACCCATGGTGAGCATGGTAAGTGGGGCACACGTATAAAATAAAAATTATGGTTATTAAATCGATTGATAAATTCAAGACAGAAGTAATTTATAAATAAAAATGTATTGTTTTTCATGCAATTCAGTACTGTTTCAAATTTCGTATAGATATTTAGATATCAAATATTAACCACAGAAGCAAATGAACTCCTTGAAGAGACTAATATCCATTATTTTATTCAAGTTTTGTATAATAAATAAATATTTATAATTTCTTTGTCCAATTGTTTTATTAGATTTATACTTCAATGTTTTGTTTTTAATATCATAGGTAATTTTTTTCAATTTAATATCATTTCAGTTTTTAAACATGTAAGTTGATAAACAATAAACACAAAGATCATACATACCCTAGATAGTCAACGCCTGTATACAAATTGGCAACGCCCTGATGGGAACCAACAGACCGGCGGCTAATCGGCTGTGCTATTCGTTGACCAAATATTATTATCCGAGTCGGTGGAATACGCGGCGTTATAATGAATAGATGCGCAGATGCGCACAGCGGATTATCACCGCCCTGTTCGTTCCCAATTTAGCGTTGCCCATTCTTACATTTATGGTGCTTATCTAGGGTATGTATGATCTTTGATAAACATAAAGCTGATTTGTATCCATCTTTTGGGATTCTTTGTATAAAAGGTCGGTTGTAAATAAATAATCTATTCCATAAATAATCCATTTTTGAATAACTTCCAATTTTTTCAAATATATTTGCTTTACTTCTCACCATCCTAACATCCCCATAAACTAATTGAGATCCAACTAAAGCAAAATATATCATTTCCAAACTAGGAATGATTAATACATATTTCAGACGTTTAAATTTAGGAATGAGACATCAAATTTTTTCCAAAACATGCATGATTATCCCACTTCATATTATTATCAATCATTATGCCAAGGTATTTTATACAATTAGTTTCATGTATGTTGATTTTACTGCCGATTTTTATAGTACCTAAATTTGGCTAAGAATTTTAATAGGAAGTGAATAAAGTCATAAAATTGTTTTTTTCAAAATTAATTGTCAATAAATTATTATCAAACCACTTTTTGTGAATTGGAAAATCCATGACCACTTTCCTTTTCAATTCTACCCAATCCTTTGCAGAGTATAATATAACAGTATCATCTGCAAAAGAATATAATTATATTACCAATAGAATTCACTTGAAATAAATCACTTATATAAATATTGAAAAAAAGTGGTCCTAAAACACTTCCTTGAGGAAGACCTTTCTCAAAATATTCTGGATTACTATAGATATTGTTAATTTCTACATGCTGAATTCTTTCAGTCAAATAATTTTTCATCAAATTGTAACTAACTCCACAAAAGCATGCTAAGAAATACTTTTTCTGAATCCAAATTGTTTATTTGACAAGTTTTTGTTTAGGTATTCAAATAATTTTGGATTCTGAATTTCAAAATTTTCTCAAATACTTTTGTCAAAGTGGAAATTAGTATTATTGGTCAGTAATTGTTAACTTCATCTTTATCTCCACTTTTATAAATTGGTTTTATGATGCCAGTTTTGAATGCGTTGAGACAAATTCCTGTTTGGAATATCACATTTATCAGTAATGAAAGTGGTTCACATATTATACTTGATTTTTCAATATTTCTGATCATTTGTTTTCAGTTTACGTAATTATATTGTGGAAAAACAATTTTATACCTGATATAATTAATCTCTTTCACACACAGATCACTAACCCATGTGAAGGAGATACAATATGAAATATACATATATACATGTAATTGATATTGGATGACAAAATTTAGATTTTACTTGATTCAATGAATGAATAAAATGAAAAAATAGTTATTCTTTTTACTATGCAGAAAAGTACAAGATTTAATGCCGTCACTGGCGTTTCATATAGCCTAGGCGTTGCCGCGGCTGGCGTTTCATAGCCTGCCATGTGAAATATATATTTTTTTCTCCAAATTATTTTCAAAAGTGAGTTTTATGACACTTAATGGTCAGAATAAAAGGTGTACTTTTACTGCCTAGGCAGAAAAAGTTTGTTGCTATGTAACATTCCAAGTAATTTGAATCAAATTGGTAATCAAAATTGACAATGACTTTGGGGGTGAACAAAAAATGATGGATTATTTGCCATCATTTTTTGTTCACCCCCAAAGTCATTGTCAATTTTGATTACCAATTTGATTCAAATTACTTGGAATGTTACATAGCAACAAACTTTTTCTGCCTAGGCAGTAAAAGTACACCTTTTATTCTGACCATTAAGTGTCATAAAATTCACTTTTAATGTCATTTGGAGAAGAATATATCTCTTACATGTATTTCTTGAAAATGACCTAGCCATGCCACAGTATCCATTCCATAAACTGTGACCTAGCCTAGCTTTATTTCACCAGGAAGCCTTAATTGAAAATTTATGAACATTTGTTGTGGTAATATAATAAGACAACCTTAAAACCTATACCATCTCTCAATTCATTTTAGAAACAATATTCAATAGTTTAATTGAAAAATCACATTATTTTTCAAGTCCAGGTGAATTTAAAATGAATTATGCTTATAATTTCATAAGAAAGATGAAAATGTTTGACAAAAACTCACTTGAAGTACCACAGTAGATACAAACTTGACAACATTATCAATGAAGCTAGTTCTCAGGGCCAGCTCAAACAGTGCCAATTTCAATTCAGGAAAGGTACAGTCACATATCCTGCATTGAAGCTGCACCAACATAACAATCATATCATTGGAAATCTCCCTGCTCTCCAATAACTCTTTGAAGCCTCTTTTGTCATTGTTCAAACTGAATATAACTTGTTCAAGATCCTGATTTCTCAATAAATCTTGGAGGTTTTTGAATCCCATTTGCCTTACAGCATATCTCTCACCACTTTCATGGTGTGGAGCTCTCCTATAATTTCTGGGGTCATTTCTTCCTCCGGTGAATCTTTCTTCAGAATGACTTCGACTTCTCATAGGGAATCCACCAAAAGAAGAACTGGATGTTTCCTCATCTCTATTTTTTTGGGAATTTGTCCTCCTCTTACCTGTAACATTGTACTTATAGGGTTTGTGCATTTTCATGAAAACTTCCAGCCAGTATATATTATAAGATATGGTGAAACTTGGTGAAACTAGACAATAGTCTACAACTGCAAACTTTAATCAAATACTAGTCAAATATAGATCCAGATAAAAAAGAGTTTATCAATTACATAAAAATGTTGAAGATATTTGAGCTAAATTACTTACCTCGTTGGTCTCTCGTTCTTCGAGACTCATGAGAGATAAAACGTCCATTGCCAAAACTTCTATTCCGCCCAGATGTAGATGGATTCGACATTTCCACGGGAAAAATGATTTCAATATTTTTCCGATCAAGACAAAATAAATAGTTTTAACCGGCATACACAATCTTGAAATAGTATCTGTACTCTATAGTTCCAGGATTTTTACCATTTACTAATTTTAAAATTTACCTCTACTTTCAATGCACTAAAGCGTTCTTGATCATGTGAATCACAATGCCACAGACAGAAGGACAGAACTGAGATGTTTATAATTCCTATCGTGTTCCTCTATCCTTAACTAAACTACTATTCTTTGCTTATAATATTTTCATCATGCTTATAATAAAGGTGGATTATCTATCCACCTTGCTTATAATAATAAACATCTCAAACAAAACAATAAAACCCATAATAAAACCCAAACAAATCAAGGAGGGGTTTCCCCGGAAACCGGAAATAACCGAAAAACCCAAACACTCACAGAACACGAAAAAGCAAAGAAAAAGAACCTTAGATCACGAATCCAAGGTTAGGATTTCCTGTTTCCTACACCTGTCACATCCTGTCACATAACATTTTTCATGAGTGCGCCTCACCTTGTTGGAGCCACATTTCGTTGCAGACACATCTCGTTGCAGACACATCTCGTTGCAGCCACATCTCTTTGGAGCCACATTTCGTTGGGCCCACAGTCTCCGAACGTACCCGAAAGCTGCGCTGTTGCCACAAGGTTCCTTATTTTACTGAGAAAGATATTGTGGCTCCAACGAAACATTGCGGTATATTTTCATCTCGTTCAAGCCACGTTTTCGTTGCACCCACATCTCCTTGGAGCCACATTTCGTTGAAGCACCGAATAATGGGAGGTAATTTCTATAAATGTAACGACAAATTCAATCTTTCTTTCCAAGGTAAATAACCAATACCCTTAATTGGTGCAGAATCAAGTTAATAGAAAATTTCCGGCCAAGAGCTTCGCTCACGACCGATCCTGAAATAATATCATTGAAATAGCGAATCACTATCAGCCTCAACAGCATCCGTTTCATTCTACAGTAACTTTTTGATTGGTTTACCTGAACAGTGGTAGTGCATCCGTTGCATTCTCTGCGAGTCTGCGATCCTTGTCATTTCTTGATATTGGCTGTTATTGGATGTGTTGCTGAGTAATTTTTTCGAATTTACAAACAATAATAAATAGATGAAGATTTGATTATATGAAGGCTGAATTGGTAAAAATGATAAAAGGCACATTCCTACTTCTGGATTTCGGAAACACAGACTGCTCCAGTGGATCCATCAGATTCCCAGAATTAGGAAGATTGAAAATTCATTTGATATTGATATGAAAAACCTCCCTATACATGGATGCCAAGATGAATACAGCAAATTGGAGTCTAAATTAATACAATCACCCACTGAGTTCTTATATGGTCAGGTACCCATCAAGTATTGATATTTATATATACATGTATTAATGACTCTACAATATAAAGAGGGCAAGGAAGTGCAACAGTCCCAAGAAAAAATCCCTTTTTACCACATACTTATATGTTAATTATCAATAATAAAAAATATAATAGGATAATGTGATATTATATGTGCCTGATGTAACGGTTATCATTATAAAGGATGAAATTCATCTATATCAAAAATTGGGTATTTTTTCCCAAACTTTACCTACCTAGTTTGGTGGTTGAATATTCTGTTTATAGATTCACTTGGTACTTGCATGACAGGTTCATTCCATGGTTCTATAGAAGCTTACCATCAAGACAACAGTAAGTCAAATTATTTATTATTAGGTACTGTATTTTTGTTACCTACACTATGTTCTGCAAATAGTTACCTACTTTGATTGATATAATTGTTGATTCATGATCATAAGTAAAGATTTTCACACATTCAACTCGAATTAGAAATTCTTAATTTGTTCATGGAATAGGTATAAGTTGTTAGAAATTGATGTTAGTTCAATGGTCTACTCTCATATTGTTCTAATAATGTATGACCCTATATATTCAGATATGATAGATATAGTTTTGATATTTATGTCAAGTTAGAAATGTATTGACATTTTTCTAATCCACATTATAATTTTGATATTCCAACTAAACTTGGCCTTGTTTCTACTTTCCAACGCATAACATTAACAGGTTATGAGCCCAGATTTCGCAGATTGAAGTAAAACACTTTACCTGTAAACTCCGAAATAGTAAGAATGCCTCAAACGGAAAGTACTGTTACGTTATTCGGGTGCAGAAGCGAACACGACACTATTTATTTTCGAACTGATTTATTTGAACTATAAAAACACTAATTTATATCGAACTTATAACTACTATTTATGTAAAACGATTTATATCACGCGGTAAATAACTGTCTCTCTGACACTCGCTGCTTAACTGACTGACTCAGTTGTTCGGCCGTCTTATATATGAGAACACATGGCAGGCTTTGGCTCGAGAACCTTCTCGAATGATCTTCCGTCTCCTTCTTTTTGTTCTACGAGCTTCTTAGAACAAAACTTCTCTCTCTAATTGTTCCATCGATTGTTTCCAGAACATTCCAGAAACTTCTGTGACGTTCTTTGTCACTGCGGCATATATTGAGTGTTCGGAAATATGCTGGTGTATGTAGGAATCATTGAGAGGTTGGAGAGCAATCTGGGATGCGTGATACAGGATGATCGTTGTACTCCTGCCTTCCTGCTGATGTTTCTAAAGCCCCTCCAAGGAAAATATCATTACACTGCCCCCTCCTTAAAACGCATTCCTCCTGGAATGCACTCTGATCGTTATGAAGATAGGGACAACTGGTTTCATTTTCACAACGTGCAGTATGGTAGAAATAGCATGGCACTGTTTTCTCTCTTGGAGTTCCTTTGGAGTTCCAGCAGCATACCAGAATTTCAACTCCGGTGAATCTAAATAAAACCTCTAGCATATTCCTTACAATTAATTCTCCGATTCAAGCCATCCAGTCCACACCCCAGCTTTGGAACAGCAATCTTCTGTATGTCCTTCTCGAGTATGGTGCTTATTCGCAAGTCGACTATAGCGTATCCCAGAGGTCCTTGTAAGTGGGTTTCTCAGAAGATCTTCCTCTCGTTATAAGATAAAACAGAGACCTTTTCCCTTCAGCGCTGATATCTTCTATTTCTAGTGCTCGACCGGCGGAGGGACCTTGTTGATGAAGCTCCTCTAACTTCCCAAACTTCCTCATAAACTTGTTCGCTATTCCTTGAGACATCTGAAAATCCTCGGCGACGCAGTGAGCTAGTGCGTATTCTACAGGAATGGCAAAAAGGTCGCGGTGCTCTTCCTTGGTGACGCCAAACCTTGCTTTTGATGAACCACTGTATGTCCCAATGAATTCCTCGAATGTGAGCTCCTTTTCTTCGGACAAATTTGTTGAACTTGTTGATCTTGTGTTCCCTCGAATGGTGCTAGTCTGTTGAAATGAACGACTCTTGGTTTGCCACTTGGTTCTTTACTGATGCGGTAGATGACATCGTTGATCTTCTTCTTGACGGTATAAGGTCCTTCCCAAGATCTCTGTAGTTTTGGACAACACACACACCAGGTCTCCTTCTGCGTATACTGCACCCCCAGCTCTGATGTCGTATCGGTCTTTCATGCAATCGCTGGCGATTTTCAGATTAGAACGAACCAATTCGTGAATATCGTTCATTTTTTTTCATCAGATTTGTAACGTAATCTACCCTCATTATGTCCTCACCAGGTCTACATTCGAAGACGAACACATGGAAGCCTCATCTCTCGTCCAAATAGAACCTTCGCCGGAGTCTGTCCTGTAGATTCCTGTACTGCAGATCTGTAGGCCATCAAGAAGAAAGGAATATGTTGATCCCAGTCTTGTTGGTGTTGATCCACGACTTTGCAGAGATACCTCCCTATGGTTCGATTCATTCGCTCCACGATGCCATCTGACTGTGGATGCAATGGAGTTGTTCTTGTTTTCTTGATTCCTAACTTCTCGCTCATCTTCTTGAACACTTCACTCTCGAAGTTCCGGCCCTGATCAGAGTGAAGTTCCAATGGTACCCCAGAACGACTGATGAGTTGATTCATTAGGACATCGGCGACAGTTATGGCTTCCTGGTTAGGGATCGCATACGCTTCCACCCACTTGGTGAAGTAGTCCATGCAGACAAGGATGTATTTATTTCCATTATCAGTCACTGGAAACGGCCCCGCAATATCCATAGCAATCCTCTCGAAAGGGCTTCCAACATTGTACTGTCTCATGCATGGGTGCCCTTGGTTTACGATGAGGCCCATTGCTGGCAAAGCACACAGTGCATTTACGGCACCACTCCCTGACGTCGTCACTGCAGTTCACCCAGTAGAACCGCTCTCTTACCCGCTGCAGTGTCTTCCTCACTCCTAGATGTCCCCCTGAAGTTTCATCATGTACATATCCAAGTACCTCCGACACTCGGCTCCTAGGAATGACCAACTGCATTCGATTATCCGACCCATCATCGCTCTCGAGATTCCTCTTGAGCAGAGGTCATCTTCTAATACCAAGGAGTCCCACTGACTCCAGTACGCCTTCGAAGTCTGTGAAGATGGTGCTACTTCTTGCCAAGAAGGACGGCGATTCGCTTTCTTCCATTCTCGAAGCTTCCGAAGTTCTGGGTCCTTTTCTTGCTCTTGCTTGACTGCTGCAGGTAACCAATCTTCATTGACAACGGTGGTTCTATAGAGGGCTGCTTCCTTATCCTCCAAACGACTACAATGTGAGCACTCAGGTGGACATGGCCTTCTGGACAATGCATCTGCATTCTTATGGCTCGTCCCCACTCGGTGTGTTATTTCGAAGTCATATTCCTGGAGCCTCTCGATCCAACGAGCTACTTGGCCTTCGGGGTTCTTGAAATTCAGAAGCCACTTCAATGCAGCGTGGTCCATCCTGAGAAGGAATTTTCGCCCATAGAGATACTTATAGAAATGCTCCACTGATTTCACCATGGCCAATAGTTCCCTCCTGATAACGCAGTAGTTTCGTTCTGCCTTCGATAGCACCTTGCTGAAGTAACCGATGACTCGCCCTTGCCCATCTTGATACTGCGAAAGGACTCCACCAATGCCGATATTACTGGCATCTGTGTCAAGAATGAATTGTCCTTGTGGAAGTGGATACCCAAGAGTCGGTGTCGTGGTCAAGCGTTCCTTCAGAGCATCAAAGGCGGCCTGGCATTCTGGATCCCAGTGGAAGGGGCGTGCTTCCTTGGTGAGACGAGTCAGAGGCTTTGCGATATCCGAAAACATTCGAACGTAACGTCGATAATAAGTGCAG